AGGGACACACTAGAGGAGGCAGGGGCACAGCAGGAGGAGGAGGACACACAGCAGGCGGGCTTGCACACAGGTTGGCAGATGAGGGACACACAGGAGGAGGGTTTACAGCAGGAGGTTGTACAGGTAGAGGGCTGGCAGCATGAGGGGGCAGGGCAGGGGCTGGCCCCACAGCAGACAGGGACACAGCAGACAGGCTTGCAGCAGACGGGCTTGCAGCAGACAGGCATACAGCACACAGGCTTACAACAGAGAGGCGTACAGCAGACAGGCTTACAGCAGACAGGCTTGCAACAGACAGACACACAGCAGGCCTGCTGGCAGGGGGATGGTGTGCAGCATGCAGGCTGGCAGCTAGACTGCTGGCAGCAGGAAGGCTCACAGGAACTGGTGCAGGCTGATTGGCAGGAGCTGGACCCACAGCTCACGGGGGTGCAGATGAGGGTCTGGCAGGAGGCCGGGGCACAGCAGGTGGGGGCGCAGCAGGGTGGCTCACAGCAGCTCTCTGGGCAGTTGTCCACCTCCCAGGAGGAGTCAGTGCAAGACTCACAGGACCCGGGCAGGCAGAAACGGCTGCCATAGCTTAGGTCATTAGAGCAGACAGACATGTTGGATGCATCCATGGTGTGGGAAAAGGTGAAGATGTAGAGGAGGGTGAGAGTGAGTGAGTGAGTAAGTGAGGAGCCCTTGAACTCCAGGGCTTTTATATCTCTCTGTGTTATGTGTTCTCTCAACAGAGGCTCCAAAAGCTTCCCTTCCTGTTGGTGTCACAGCAGCAGCTGCTGTTGTTTTCATGGTACATGTTCCTTGTTTTGACACTACTGGCTTTGAGACTCCTGTGTGATCTGTGTTTGTTCCCAGAGGAAACCAAAAGAAATGCTTCAAGTACATCAAAATAGCTACAAGACACCAGGATGGAAGCCATCAGTCAGTTTTTCAAGGGAAGCCATTTGCGGTTTCCTGTGGGGTTTGCTCATTGTCTTTGTCTTGGTGGGTCAAGTATGGGAATGGGAGACACAGTTATGGATCCTTCTGAGCATGTTCATCTGGCTTCTGCCAGACCTGCTCTGAGGGTAATGTCACCAATTGTCAGTGGATCTGGAGGGCTGTGTCTGACCAGTGAGTCATGGGCAGATGTGGGAATACCATGTCTTCTTGGCTGCAGAGATCAGTGCAGGTGGGATGCAGACCCAGCACAGTAGGGATCCCATGAGGTGCGAATGCCTTCTGCTGCATTGGAACTTCAACTTTTATACAAACAGCATGCACGGATGCTCATACCTTCCTCTGCCCTCAAACCTCAGACAACACCTGCAACGGTCTTTGTGTGCCACTGAGAATAAAATCTCCTCCCTCAGTTCCCCCTTGTCTCCTACAGGTCAGGACGTCATTGGGAAGTGGTGGCCATGAACCCAGCCTTCTGTGTCATTTCCTGGAATTGTTGCAGTAAATGCACAAGCCACAGGTCTGATTGTGCATGGGGCTCTGTGTGTGGTCCTCTCATGTCTGACGCCCTGTATAAAATGGCCCACAATCCACACTCAGCACTAAACCTGCAACCCAATAAGCACCCAGTTCCTGGTCTTGGGGGTCCCTTGTCCTGTCCTGTAGCCAGCATTCTCAGCAGATGCTCAGAAACAGCAAGCCCTCAGCAACGTTCCACTAGCCAGCTCTGCAATTCAGCCAGCCCAGGGGCTCCCTGAGGGTATAAGTGGTTCTGAGACCTGTATGGCTGAGGTCTCACTGTGCTCTGATGAGGCAGGACTCACACTCTGCCTGCAGGCTTCATGGTAGAGGCAGGCTGGGTGACCACACCACTCCCAGGGCCCTGCCAACCCTAGTCAGGGTGGGAGGAAGGACCAGACTGTGGAGCTGTCTTGACTAGAGCTGAAGCTGACTTTCAGACCTCATGGGAAGGTCCCCCAAAGTGACCTATAGGGTCACATGGCAGCAGGGAGTGGTGACACTCAATCCTCTGCCATCCCTTCTCTCCTCCCTATCTTGTTTTCCAGGCCTGGGCACTCCCCTGAGGCCCACTGAGGTGATCACACCTCTCTGGGCTTTTGCTTACATTCTTCCTCTCCATTACTCCACCTAACTGAGCTCTGAGCCTCCCATTTCTATCCCTTTTGCCTCCCATGAACATTCGCTCCCTGCCACCTCCCATGACCACTCTTCCTCTCTAGCTGTGGACATAGGAGTCCTGCAGGGTAGGGGCCAAGCATCATCCACCTTAAATTTCCCCTATCTCCACATGAGGCACTCAGGACTGGCTTGTAGTGTGAACACAGCTCAGATGAGGGGAGATTTTGTATGCATCATCAGAAAGTTCATCAATGGACAGTGGGAGGACTCCTCATTCTGGCTGTGGGGCTAAGGCTGCTGCTGAGGATGTGTGGTCCTCAGAACAGGCCCTGGGACAGGCAAGATTGTGCCTGGATGTTAGGGCTTACAATAAACTTGCAAATGTGGTTATAGTCCGGTGTCATGTTTATCATTCTAAAATTAAGACACAAGACATTCCTGTTTCTTTTACTCTGAGTCATCTTAAGAGATTTATAGAACTTGGTACCTCAAGAAAACAGGAAATTATTTGAAGTCTGGTATAAGAAAAAGAAAAGCATATTTGTTGATAAGTATTATGTAGCCACTCTAAACTGTAACATAAACATTCAAAAATGTTCATATTAGATGTCAAATGGGAAATAGGCCACAGAATTCTAGATACCCTATAAACTATAACTGTGTGAAACAAATCAACCAGCAAAAGCTCAATGGAAAAATGACTACCTCTAATTAAACAAAAAAGCCAACAGCATGAGGGGTGTCTCTAAATGGGAAGAACAGATGATTTTTAATTCTTTTGACATTTCTGTATTTTCTGAATTTCCTTTGCTATATTACATATAGGCTCAAATAAACAAACAAAAACCAACTGAATGTTTTGAAACCAAAGGAGCTCTGGTGGCACTGTGCGTAAGGCATTTGACTACTAACAAGAAGTTGGCAGTTCAAACTCACCAGCCACTCTGTGGAAGGAAGACTGAGCAATCTACTTCCATAAAGATTTACCACCTCATTAACCAACTAGGGTCGCTATGAGTCAGAATTGACTTGATGGCAGTGGGTGGGTTTTGAAACCCACAGCTTTTGACCAGCAACTTCATTGTATTGCATCCCATTGAAACAATGTTTCTTATAACAAAAGTCATAGGCAATCTTCTTGAATTTTGTACATGGCAGATACAGTTATTTACCTCTTCTTACAATTGTGAATGCACACATAGCTCTATTGGCCTGCTTGTTTGCATGCTGGTAGGAATGATGAGTTCCTTTTGGAGAATTGGCGTGAAGAAGGACCTTGTTGATCATCAATGAAAAATACAAAGACAGAAGTTCTGCTTCTGACCAACTGTCCTACCAAGAACAGCTGGCAAGTACAGATGGAATTGAAAAGTATCCATCTGGGAGCACTGGAGAGGGATCCTGGCAACCAGCACCAGGTTGCAGAAGGATCCTAGAAGAAAGAGAAGTTCCCTGAGATGATCCCTGCACTCTGCAGTGATGAATGATGCATTTTCTAATTTCTATCTATCCAAGCAAGGAGCTCATTTGCGTAGTGCCCAAGGCATTTGACTGCAAACCAGAAGGTTTGTGGTTCAAACTCATCAGCCACTCCATGGAAAGAAGGCTGGCCAATCTACTTCTGTAAAGATTTACCACCTCAGACACCCAAAGGGGGTCACTATAAGCCAGAATTTACTCAATG